CAATATTAAATTTATAGAATAAATTTAAATAAATAATATAGAGTAAATGTAAAGAATATTTTTTTAAAGAGTATGAATAACACAAAGAGAGCTTTCCTTTACTTCCATCAAAGTGAAACACAGACTCACTGTTCACCTTCCGGTGAGAGAAGCAAGCTGAAAATTCAGCTTTTCTGGGTGGGTTCAGTTATGCAGTCCTGAACAACAGAGTAATGCTACACAAACAGCTAAAGCCCAGTAGCGAATATTGTCATACAGAAGTGAAAGCACAGGCAGGTATATAGACTATCAATTAGCTATACTATAACTGGGCCAAGCCAAAAATTAAGCAGTAGTCAAAAACCTGCTAACTAAATGGACTTCAAAAAAAGTTTTTTCCGTTCCTGGAAGCTGGGTCTTACATGTTTTCTCCTAACCATCTACTAGTTGTCACCTAGGAAAACACCTGTAATTCAACGATTTAAAAAGAAACACCACCTTCAATTTTCTGAGAAACAACCAAACTACCTCAGGATGCTGAGGAAAGGAGGAAAACAGTTATCTAAAAAAGTCAGATAAGAATATGGTTAATTTGTTAAATGGCAGTTTTTCCTCTGCTAAACAAAGACTAGTGTATGTAAGAGCTAGTAAAAAACCCTGCAACCCCACCACCACCACACCCTCCCTCCAAAGCTTACAATCACAGAATTCTCATTAGAGCTAGAAGTTGAATTTTAAAAGATAATTAAATCCACTTATAAAATATTTGCAGTTAGGTGTTATATTGCCCAGACTCTCATTTTCAAAGCCATGTACATGGAATAATCCTCATTTAAAAAAAAAAAAAAAAAAAAAAGTTCTGAAAAATGTGAAGACTGCACTTAAATTTTTGCTTTTGGGGGGGGGGTGAGCTGATAGATGGAAGAGAGTGAATGAGCATTCTTTTCAAGAATAGTATCTACACAAAGTGAAGGCAACATGGTTCACCAATTCAGAGCCAGAGGAAAGACTAGGAGCAGAACAAAGACACTGGACAGAAGAATGGAGGACTCTTCTGTGGCTGACTGGCTGAAGGAAACGTACTTAGTCTGGACTCATGGCAACCCAGGATACAAAAATCCCATAAACAACAGGGCATTTGTGCATGTAACTCCCTGTACACTGCTCTGAAAATGCATTTTGCAGAGGTTTTTTCCTCCCTCTCAACTCTTACACATGCACACACTGCACTGCGTGTTAGTAGCTTTCATATCCATTTAAATGCTACAGCCAAGAAACACTGTGCACATTCACCAGCTCTGCTTTTCTAAAAAAGAGGCTGAGAAATTGGCATCTAGTCCAAAGGGACCATATTACAAAATATTTAAAGAGGGATTGAAAGGCCATGCACCAAAATGCCAAAAACCCAATGAAGCCAAACCTGTTAAAGAATGTGGTTTTGTGCGGTGCAAGAAGATTAAAAAATAAACATGTATAAACTTTAACTCTCTTTGGCTTAAAACTTTGGTCCTTATTTGACCTATATTGCATATTTTTAAACTAAGGCTCTTATTTTTAGAACAGTTCTGAATTAAACCTTTCAAAAAAAAAAAAGTGAAAAGTAAAGCTGATACTAATACCTTTGGGGTTAGGCATTTTGGCCATTTTAGTCCTGGCACTTTTCCATCAAATTCCAAAATAAATAAATAAATCTACTAAAATGTAATTTGGAAGTCCCCATTGTCTGAAGTAACTTGATACAACAGAAGATAGAACTGCTTAACAAACCTTGACTTCTATGAATGCACAAACTTCAGGATTTGGTACTCTGGGGTTATTTACAGAATACTACTTTCAGATTTGCTTACTAGAGTTTATACTCACTTTACAGCCAAAGAAAAGTGGAGCAAGTTGAAAGTACAAAACTAATTTATTTTTTAAAGTTTTATAACATCTGTTAAGTTAAAACAAACTACAACAGGGTTTTAGGCTGCATACTTCTTATCAGAAACCTTGCCTGAGTGGGGAAACAGTTTTTAAGCACGCCAGGAAAGATACTCAAGGCACTATACTCACCAGTATGAATCTTCTCATGCCTCTGTAGCAGGTACTTCTGTATGAAACGCATGTCGCACTGACTGCACTGAAATGGTTTTTCACCTTGAACAATATAATTCCACATCCATAAGTTAATAACTACACACTGTTGTTTCTGATAACTACTTTTGAGGAATATTAAAATGTCTATTAAAAAAACCAGCATCTGAGCGAATTCCAAAAATACTCTAATATCAAAAAACATTAGCCTTACTAAGTATATGAACTGCAGAATACTTTCCATGATCCTATGAGTCACATTAAGACTAGCACGGAAGAGTGATCTGAAATGGCTGTAATTTCCTCATGAACAAGATCAATCACGATGCTGGCATAAGACTGCATTCAGGATACTGGCAAGCTATTATAATGGTAAGTACCTTTTTCAGTTCTCCGAACCAGAGAGATACCTCATCAGGCAAATAAGCAGCCGAAGCACATTTTACAAAGGGGTCAATTTTGGCATTTAGGCTACAAGTCAACCCATTACTTTCTGATAAAGAAAGAAAAGAAACCTTGTAAACAGTTAGGTCTTCAGTTTATTAAACATATGTTGATTTTTTTTTTTTTCCCCTGGTATTCTTTTGACACTTTGGTGCATGGAATCTCTAAGCTTAGATGCCAAGTTAGCTACACTCTTAAAACTGAAATTCGCATAGAGCTGAAAACATTTTTAACATAAGTAAACAACTCTTTATATAGTAGAAAAGACAAATTTGAAGTCAAGCAGTACCTGTATGAATGAAGACATGTCTCTGTAAATGGTAGTTGGTTCTAAAGGCAGCATTGCAATGCTCACAAACATGAGATTTGTGGGTTTTCAGACCAAGTGATCCATCCTCATTTATTGTAAGGATCTATTTTAAAAAGAGTAAAATTTGTTCTCACACTACCCTCTAAAGATGTCTTATTAACTACAAAAAAAAAAACCATTAATCTTTTTCGATGCAGAAAATTTAAATATTTCAGGTAAAACAATGCTAATTTCTACAAAGCTATGTGTTAGGCTTTTAGTATACATTTCCAATTGCAGTCCAATCCAACTTGTGTCTCGTTGTGTATTAAGAGGTATTTCAACAGGACGGAGACAAAAGCAGCTCATGGAAAATCAGCTTAGAGCTCCCCTATTCACAGCTGAGTCACTTTATATGCTACTGTTTACTTTGTCCGTCTGTTGGAAAGGATGCAAAGTAACCAAACCACCTCTGGGCACTGAACCACGGATAATCATATTTTAAAGCAAAAGTAAAAAGTTATATTCTTTTTTTCAAATCACGATCGTTAATGTTTGCTAAAAGGCATTAAAACTTATCCAGAATAGTCATACAAATTATCTATATCTACATAATACCAGTAGTCTTGGAGACAAAATTATATTTTAAAAACCGAAACCCCAAAGTCAAACAACCAAGAAAATAGTATTATTCTTCTCCCCTTTCAAGTTTTTCACTCAATAAAATATCGCTCACTCAATATACATATTAGAGCATCTCTGTGACGAATTCAACTTGCCACATTCAATTGCTTTGCTGTCAAACAAAGCCGCTATTCTCATATAACGTTGAAAAAACTTAAATGAAAAAAAATTGCACCACATCTACCTTATTCAATAAGGCTCATCACAGCTTTTCTCTTAATTTGTCAAAAAGGAAGACAAAAACCCCAAACAAACCCCAAACTCTCTACTATCTCTGGCAAGAGAATATGAAAACCAGTAAACAAATTACATTTCCAAAAGCCTTACTTAACTGGAAACACAACTATAAAGAAAAGCTTAAGTAACCTTAAGTAAAACAGTTTAGTCCCTTGTTATTAGCAAAAAATAAAAGTCTGCTGGGGAAGCGCATCTGCAATTTGATTAGCTATGATGTTTTAAGGTTTTATGATAATGACAGTGATGAGAAAGAGAGAGTCAATAACTGAAATAGTATCTCTGCAATAGTAGCAAATACTGTAGGATCTACTTAAACAATTTTAATTCTGCTACATCACAACTCGGCAAGAGTGAAAGTCTCGAGCTAACAAATTCTTGTGCATTCACTCTGAAGGACAAGCACATTCATACGTTTGTAAGACTGGGATGTTACAGCTCCAGTAAGTCACAGATACAGACAATTATAAAAACTCTGTTCTGTAACAACATACAGCTAATGAAACACTGACTGGTTATTTAAAATAAATTTAAATACATGTTATGAAATGTTTTTCATAGAGCATATTGAAATTTTAAAATAACTGTCCAGAAAATACAGTTAATTTCACAGTTATCCTAAACCTGGGCTCTTCTACTGCATCCATTCATCGTACTACCTCTTAAATGAAGAAAGCTAACTTTGTCAATGCAGTTTTCCTTATAAAAGCAACAAAAAAGCTTGTGCATGTGTGTGTGCGCATGAGTGTGTGTGTATGTGTGTGCACATGTGTTTGTGTGCATGGAAGAGGGAAAAGGAGCCAGGATTCATAAAAGCTATTGACTTTTTATTTATATGATGACTACATTAATATAAAATTAAATTTAAAGAATGTTAATTGACTTCCATTTGTAAAAGTCCCAGCTGCAGTTTGGATGGAAAAATCAATGCTGTTACTCTGGGAATACTAAGTTAACCTGCAGTAGGCTCTCACCTATGTCAGCCCTTCAGCTTCTTTCTGCCTTTCTACTCTGACAAGTTTGACAAAAGGGGAAGAGAGACTGGAAAAGAACCTGTTTAATGATTCTCCTGATCATTTTTCAATCTTTTGTCATCTCCAAAGACTAACACTGACGGATTGGGAGATAAAAAGGAAGCATGCAAGTAGATGTCTGTAGAAAGGGGGACACATGCCTCTCCTATCTTGCCATGTTTCCATGGAAGTGATCTGTGGAGGTACCCAACCTAGATCTCCTTTTTCTATCAAAGCGAGAAGTATCTTGATGCAAAGGATTTGGAACTTGCTTCCACACCCAATCTGAAACAATTTCTCAACTTTCCAAGGATGCAACCGAATTTGACAGTGCTTTGAGGAGGACCAAGGGGTCCCACTCCCAGGCCAACAAAAGGGAGGTTTTGGAGTTTTTCTTGGTGTTGAGGTAGGTTTCCCTTCAGTGTATATACAGTCTGGGTTGATTTCAGAGTAGGCTTATTTTAATGCTGCTGTGTGATCGTATATAATTGATTTTTGCCTATCAGAGCAGCCTGTATATGTTCTATTTTAAGTCTAAAGATTAATACTGATTTGGGGAAGTACTAGAAGATATAACACTGCTACCTCATGAGGTGAAATGATTCTGGTTTTATCTGAAGTGCGTCTCAATAGAAGAAAATTGTTTTCAGACATACAGGGATACATACTCTTCATGAATGGATCTACAAAACAAATTTTGAAGTAACAAACCAGCAGCTATGGTAAGAATCTTGATATAAATAAATACATATATGAAGATGATTATGACCACAGGAATATTCCCTACTGGTAAATTATTTTATATTAGTAAACTTTTTAGAATTTTCAAAACTACCATTTTAGATTTCTTTTTAAAAACTTTTCACTACTATGCATGAAGCATATAAAATTATCAGGCTCACAGAAAAGCACAACTATTATTAGATAGATACAGAGCAATGATTTATAAATCGTCTACAAAGCTACTGACTCATAATTTAAAAAAAAAAATTTGGAGAGAGAACTGCCTGGAGCGACAGATGTTAAAATATGTCAAGGGTTCATGTTGCTAAAGAGTTCAAAGAAAAACACTGTTATATCAGGTTTTGTTTTGGGTCTCTGGTGAACCTCAGAACTGCATCTTTACTGAGCAAACAAACAATTTCCAGCCTAACTACTTCAAATGCTAATGAAATTAGTCATAGTCAACCAAATCTTCAGGTTCTTTTAATCTTGGTTTTGCCAAATCAATATCTTACTTTTGCTGGTGAACGCTGTTTTCTTTTCTTCTTTTTCTGCAAATCTACTGGCTCTCGTATTTGTTTTTTGTCTCGTTTCTGTTGTTCAGATGCATCAGTAAAGGTAATTTCTTGCTTTACACTGATCTGTTAAGATACCAAGTGCCAGTTTCAGGTAAGGTTCTCACTACAGAAAAGCAATTTTTCAATTTTAGAAGATGACAAACTGCTGAAACAGAAAACGTTTTTCTAAGGGAATTATCTTGTGGCTTCATTCTTTCAGAAATTTAAGTGAAAGGAATAGTAAGTATGTTAAATAAAAAGGGCATAGTTAATTTCTTCAGTGACATTTTGATGTATCCTTTCATTCATCTCCCAAAGTCTTTTTTCCTTCTGACCTGTGGTGATTTTGAGATCAGTTCTTGTATTAAAATCACTTCCATCTGTAAAACCATTCAGTTTTTCACACCTATTTTACTTTAGTCCGTGTGTTGTCAATGCAAGATTTAACGGAATAGTTTATTATATATTTAAGACAGAAGTATTTTTTAAGAAAACAAGAATAGTGCTACTGAAGCTTTTTCCAAAAAATAATCTGATGTATAATAGAGCATGATAGTCTTACATTTTTCTAACTCCTGAATCACCTGATCTACAGCTAACAGAGTAGTGTTTTAACAATGCTACCTTTCTAAGGATTATTCTTTGTATATAAGGCTATCTACTTTTAAAGTCCTGGTAGTTATCCTTTATGTTGGAAGGGTAACAGTGATGATGTGCTGCATTACAGACAGATGTTTTCAAAAAGGAAGTCATCTATATTCTCTCTGGGAAAGCTGAGGCACACCTTCTATGAGATACTGAGGAGGGGCATATTTATGGTCATGTATGAAGTGTCACAGTCCAACCTGCAGTGTGAATGCAATTGCTAAGCGTCCGCATACTTTGAAAACATACAAGATGCTTCCTATAGCAAAAGAAACTAAATAGTACTATGACCAGCATAAACAGTATGCACCTTTTAATAACGCTATTTATTCTGGTTTCTAGTTACCCTTGAACATTAAATATATTTAAAAGAGCACATTTTAACACGTTAATTCTATGGTAACAGCCTGCTTATAAAATATTTATAAAACAGATACTTAAAGATTATACTTAATTGGAAAAAATTATCCATAGCCAGAGGCAAATGACATTTTCATAAATAGCATCCATTCATAAATATTTTGATAATCAAAATCCAAACAAGCAATTAATAGATTCTTGCCAGAGTAGAATTAGACTACCACATCAAGCTTCCTAGTAATTTCTCCAATATTTCACAAAGAAATTGCTTACAGGGACATTAACAGCATACTGCAGCCCTTGAGGAAGTCTATCTTGCGTATCCATGTCATCATCATTTTTTACCGTCTCCTCATGGACCATGAGTTCATCATGTGAAATCATCTCCTGCTGTCGAAGTTCACTTTCCTGTAACACTTCGTCTGTTGCAAGAATTTCTTGGTGCGCCATAGTCCGATCTTGAAGCACTGCCTCTTGCCGTTCTCCCGATACTCCAGACTGGTCAGATACCGCACCCATCCCTACCATAGACCTGGATGACTGCATCTGGTCTATGCCACCACATTTAAGAAATAATCCTCCCAGCTTGTCTTCAATGTTCATTCTTAAATGCAATAACCTACAAAGAAAGTTTTAATAGTAAACATCTACAATTGGTGCTCTTGCTTAAAATTTTTTTTATTTAAAAACATTTTATAAGAACTCAGTCAGTACTCAACATACACACATACACTCCTAAAACCGATCTCCGAATAAAAGCAGAAAGTTGGATATCTTGGTTCAATATGAAAAGATACTCCTTTCACACATGCACGTGTACACAATTGAACACTTTCAAATAAAAGTTTCAAATCAAAGTGCCTTTTGATTACTGGCAAAATTCTGGTAATTAAGTGATAGTTAATCCCTCCTTCTCATTCCTTAGAAAACTGGAGATTTTTTCTGTGCCCTTTTTACTCTGTTCCCTTTTTCTGTTTTGACTGTCTTTTACAAATGCCTCTTTCATGTTGGTCCTGTTCTCCCTACTTCCTTGTCCTTTAAGTGCCCTTTCACCGCCGCTGCCCCAGGGCATAGTGTAGATGCTGGAACATCTTAATATCCACACATGAGAGAAACCTGGGCTGCATCAAAGAAATCGTGGCCAGCAGGTCAAGGGATGAAGACAGGCTGAGAGAGCTAGAGTTATTCAGCCTGGAGAAGAGAAGGCTCCAGGGAGATCTTACTGCAGCCTTTCAGTAGCTAGAGGGGGCTTGTAAGAAAGATGGGGACAAACTTTTTAGCAGGGCCTATTGCAATAAGACAAGGGGTAATGGATTTAAACTAAAAGTGGGTAGACTTAGAATAGATATAAGGAAGAAATTTTTTATGATGAGGGTGGTGAGGCACTGGAACAGGTTGCCCAGAGAGGTGGTAGATGCCCTATCCTTGGAAACATTCAAGGTCAGTTGGACAGGGCTCTGAGCAACCTGATCTAGTTGAAGACGTCCCTTCTCATTGCAGGGGGCTTCGACTAGATGGCCTTTAAAGGACCCTTCCAACCCAAACCACTCTATGATTCTATGAAAACACAACTTTCTGGCTATGTGAAATAAAGACTATAGAGAGGTCAAATCTGTTTATAAAGAAGGCATTCGCTTTCATATCCACTAAGCAGGAGCATTACTCAGGAAATATGAATTCCAGTCATGAATAGCAATACCATTACATGTACTTATGGTACACAGATAGATATAAAATCAAAGTATTCCAACAAGTGTCATGACATTATTGGTTTTTTTTAACACAGAGCGGCAGGCTTTTGCGAAGCTGGAGGTGGCGCCATCTTCTTATTCTACTTCTTATTATATATGCAAGACAGCCCTAAGACTCTTCTTCTCCTTGGCGTACTGGATGTCCAGTCACGCAGTCAGCCTCCTTCACCCTATTCCCCAGGCCCGTAATTCCTACCCACTCCACAATGGTCTGGTTCACCCCTTCGGACAGACAGACATTCTTCCTCCGTCCCTCTATCATCCCACAGCTGGAGGGCAAAGGCTATACACAGGCTACAGCAGACACAGGGATGGGAACAGAGCTGGACAATACACAGCAGGCCCAGCCAGAGCACAAGACCGGTGTCTTGCCTACGTTGGGGTAGACAGCATCAGCACCTTTGATTTTGATGCATTCAGAATTACAATAGAAATGTGATGTTGGTATACTGCTAGTGATCAGCTTCAAATTCTGTCCCCCTAAGGGTGCAGCATGATGAGAGGTTCCATCTCCACTCAAGTTCTAAGTCTGAGGCTATGCTTCTTTCCCTGCTTCTCTCGATGACAACTCATAACCAAAGAAATAACCTAGAACTGGCAGGGCCATCACTCTGCAGAACTGCACCACTATAACCCCCTGCCAACATGCAAAATGACTGGATCAAACAAATGTACATGAAATGTTTACATTTCAATTTTCAGTTTGATCCATTTGATCACTTTCCAAATAATTTTCTTCTCCAGGAAAGTCTTTTGAAATTTCTCAATGTATCTTATACATTTGTGAAGATTTGTTTATACCAAACTACACTGAGTTTACAAAATAAACAGTGGTCTTTTTTTCAGGTGAGATCCTAGAGTACTTGGTAGGAATGCAAGCCACCAGCAGACACAGCTGAAAAATCTCAAAGTTTTGCTACATTATACTTTTAGTTCTTAAAGTAACATGCACTCAATTTCTTAAAAAACCAAACAAACAAAGAAACAAACCAACCCACCACACACCCCAACACATAAAAAAGCAGCTCAGTAACATCTTCCGGTAGCAACTCATGTCAGATAACTCGAAAGTGAAAGAACATTTGTCCCTATTCTCTATCATGAGAGGTTCTAAATTTATGAATATATCATAGGAAGACTGATGGACAGGATGGTCTGACTTCTTCAAGTTTCAAATATTTAAGGGGCACGCCAAAGAAAGAAGCTTTTCAGTCAATTGGATTTTTTTTTTAGTAAGCCTTCCTCTGCTGGAAGTTAGGAGGACAGAGTCACCAACTCAATCTGTTTATATATGACAATGTCATCAAAATTTTTAATATTCTTCCTTCCTACATAAAAACCACATTATAGGGACCCAAAAAAAGCCTGTGACAGGGAGAGAACACAGGGAAAATGTCTGTTCAGAACATTTATGTTTTCAATATATCCTTTTTTGTTCTTCTGCAATTCTAACGTAAAGAAGTCTGAAATCTTACTCTTGATTTTCACAGCACCTGTCTTCAAATACGGATAACAATTCCCTAATGCCTTAGGTAGTAAGGTCAGGTAGTGCCAGGTGACAAGTTTACTCCCATGTTAATCCACTTTATAGTAAGAGAATGAGATTTCACAGGTCTTCAAGGGAAAACACACGTCCGGTATGCCACACAGCCACCTGCAGACATTGTATCATCCATGAAGTATTTTTTTGGAGGTAACTGGGAAACCATACTGATAGTTTCTCAGCAATAACAAAAACAAACAAATAAATAGCAAGCTTGGCACAGCACTAAGGCTGTATTTTTTCCACCAATGTGGATGTCCCAGAGAGATCTTGCAACAACAGACCTTAGTGCTCCTAAAAGAAGAAAATGAGGATGAATTTATCATCTTATTAGCGTGGATTATCCTGTGGCAACTAAGAAATGTGAGAAAGAACTGAAGTTCTTAAGAATCTGTCTTCCACGGACCAATTATTTGATAAAAGATGGCAAAAGATCTAAGGTTGAGACTGGTTTCTTAGGCAGGGCATTTTAAATATATGGCATGAAAGATAGACTCCCAGGAAAACAAGCAGATATATTTACTCATTTCAGCCTTTATCCCAAGTTAATCCATACTCAGCGTACATCTTACAGAAGATCGTCATTCACCATGCACACTACAGAAATGTGACAGCATAAGCTCCTGCAGATTCTTGAGAGGAATGACGTGGACAGGTACTAGAATACAAGACCTCAAGATGATGAAATACATTCCAGGGAGAACAAACAGCATTGAGTTGTGAGAACACAGTGGCCCTAATCTGTCTGCTCGAGCCACTGAGGAAAACAGCACAGAAGGCTGTTCCACATGGAGGATACTGCCATATCACTCTGAAATTAGGTATGAATTGCAGAAATCCTGGATTTAAAGCTATTTCCTGGCAGGAAGGTAGGCAGGCAAATGCAAATAGAGAGACTGAGTGTTTAAGAGTGCAGAAGAGCCTGTAACTCTCATCAACAGAGGCAGGAAGACTCATGACATGCGGAATCTTAGGACAGCTGGCAAGATACAGCAGCTGCCCAGAAGAGAGGCTGACAGTGTACTGGTTTTTATTGGTCTCGTTAGTTCTCTCAACTGGCAAGGATATGGAAACTTTTTCTTTCTCACCCTGACTAGTAGGCTCAGTAGAGTCGTGCAACCGAAAGCACTCGAGTTGTTTTCCAGTCATGATCTTGAGTCATATCAGAAGCTGGTACAGTGAGTGTACTGCTTATTCAATCAGGCTTTCAAACATCTGGGCTTTCACAGAAAAATAATGAGAACTCATAGCGTTAGGCGGCATATTCTAAGTGATGAAACGCAATGTAAGTTATGTGACACGCAGGCACTGTTTTAAAATAAAGAACTACAAACAAAAATAAGCTATTAATCCAAACAACAAGTATCCCAATTGCAATCAATTCAGTAAAACGTGTAATTTGTCAACTGACACCTTTTGACTCACATAAAAGGAATCCTATCATTTAAATTGAAGATGAGGAGATGTGTTCTTGGAAGAATGACAATGTGATAAAGAAAATGTAAGTTAAAAGCATTCACACAAGCTCACTTTACCAAGCCTGCAAAGATTAAATAAATATTTTAAGTGCAAGATGCATCTGTGAAATAAAGATCAACTTATTTTGAGATTATCTTGAAGGAAGCTACAATAATACAAACCACATACTAACACACACAAGCACATTTCTTGGCATAAACCACTGTTGTCCTTATCGCAGAGATGTTTTCCATGGAATATCAGAACTTTTCTTAAGCTTCCAAATAATCATATGATTTTTCTTTCACTACATAGTTTCTCTATACACCGAGAGGAAAAAAAGCTGTCAACAAAATCTTTAAAGTAGCCATTTGGCTTGGTAGAGGTTCTCCAAACCTTTACTCTAGGCAAAGCATTTCACAAGAGGCAGCTACAGGCAGAGCTTCCTGGGTGTGCACACATTCCGGGGGAGGAACCACACAGAAAAGGTCTCCCAGATCATCCCAGCACCTTCTCTTTTCACACAGTGCTCCACAGCTGCTTGCAGAACATCCACAGCCACTGAACCACGTTGCTTCATTTCAAAAACCGCTGCTATGCCAAACCCTACGGCAGCGCTTCAGAACTATCCATTTCAGTAACCCTGACATCAGTTTTTCCAAAGATTACTGGTGCAGTAAGTTGGAGAGCTAAGTGGTAAAGACAATATTCCTAATTAAAGAAACAGCTATTTAAACAAAAACATACTAAATGAAAAGTGTGATGACCTTTCCAATTCAGAATCAAAAGTTAAAATACAATCAAAAGAAAACTTTAATGGATTTTAAGAAGTCTGCTGGGATGGTGGCTGCTATGAAGTAAAGCTGA